GGACCCACCTCGAGCCGAGCGAGCGAGGCCCCGCTGGCGTCGTCCTCGCTGGTCCTCGCTCGGCTCGAGGTGGGTCCCGAAGCAGGCCCCGAGCACGGCCGAGGAGTGCCGAAGCGGTGCCCAACCTGTCAGCGGTGGGTTGACATGCCCGGTTGTAAATGCGCGCAGAAACTACCGAATGCGTAGTCCATCTACTTAATGGTCCTTGTGGCTTACTCTACCCTGTAGGAGCGTCTCAGAGTACCCATCGGGGGTGGCCAGCGGCAGCGGCCATGGTGTACCCTACCCGGAGTCCGGCTGAGCTCTAGCTGCTCGAGGCATGGGCACGTTTTGCCGTTGAATGGGGCTTTACTTTGATTGTTCTGTGCTCATTCATTTAAATAGTTTCAGTTTTACTTTCAATTTGGCATAAATTGTTTGCGTAAAAGCATTCACATTATGGGGGCAGTAATAATTGGCCGTTATTTTCTTGGCATTTGTTTAGATCGCTTTTGTTTAGCTGAGATGTCTGCCACACCCCATGGCGTTGGCCGGAGCCACGGGCCTTGCATACTAAAATTGCACTTTACCTTTTGCCCTATGATAGAGTCATAGTTTGACTTTTCTATTCTTCACTAATTGGATTTTAGGGGGTTTCGTGGGAGGGGAGGTCTAGGACCTGGGACACCGTCTTCTTTTGTATTGTGTTTGTAATTCACCCTCGCCTCGGACCTGTCTATTGTATAGTGTGAATTTGAAAGAGAGAAGTTTTGTGAATAAAGGTGTTATTGCTATTGCTGTTGAAATGTAATCCTGTTGATCACCCCTCTACCCGATTATGGAAGTACTAGATAACACTTAATAATTCTAGGGGTAGCTTGCGTCCTCCTGGCGCCCAGGCCGACGTTTTTTATAACCACTACCTGCTACCGCATTTTTATGTTGGAGCTCCGGGCTCGGCTATTCAAATTTTAAACTCAGGCATTATATGCTGTCAAGCGACACTTTAACTATAACTAAGCTTACACCTCAGCCAATTACTAAGAAAATGGATTCGGTTCAGTTCATGGACGCCTTCTAGTCAGTATTTAATGTTTTATTTTGTTTCAGATGAATCAGCATGGTTCGCTGAAAGATCTTCAGCAGTCCTTCGTGCTGGTTATTCTAGCGGCAAGTCGACCTTGCAAGCTGAGCGTCCGTGCATTTGGACGTCTTGATCTAGAAAATGCAGGGAACGCAGTGCAGTGCTGGTATTCCTTTGTAAATGTTCTCCTAAAAGTGACTCAACAGACAAAAAATTGATGTGATTTTCCTGTGTTAGGAGCGGTTTGGACTGTACAAAAAAGTAAAGAAACCAGTTGAGAACCATCAGCTAAGAACGTTTTTACATTCAGACAGACAGACAGAGTGAGGGTCATGAATGTCCATGAAATAGTAACAGTTTGAGACTGCGACGTTCAGGGGCTTCACGGTTGTGTACAAAAAGAAGGATTTGAAGTGAAAACTTATAATTCAGTGGCCCCTTTCGAAGAAACATGACCCTCACTCTGTCTGTCTCTTTCTACATTCACGGGTGGCAGATGGCAGAAAACGGGTCTGCGGCGTTCCAGGCGTCGTAGCTCCGGTTTGAATGATGCTACACTCAAAACACGGGCATCATTAGTTGCAGTAGACCATAGGCTTTCAAAAATTGAGTGGTTGAGATTTCTAAGCACATTGGCTTCAGAGGAGATAGCTTCGCCAGCCAGCGCGGCGCACATTTCAACGTACTTAGTTGCTACTCCAGTGCAGTCATTCTTACATGCAGCAGCTTAGGGGGTCTTGAAATGCACCTGTGATCAAAATTGGAACGCGGTAGGACTTTTCGTTTTCGGGCCTCAGCCAAAAATGTGTGAATTTGCTCAAAACCATCCCCTAAGTTTACGCCCCTGTAGCGACAAAGCGGGGTGAAATCCGACGGTCGCCACCACGATCACAGAAGGGCGTAACGTTAATCTTTTCGGGTACCGAGAGCCAAGCCGCTGGCAAGACGGCGGATGGTCGATTGCGGGCAAGACCTGAGGCGGAGGGTCAGGCAGGATGGTCGATTGCGGGCGAAGTGTCAGCGGATTACTGGGTCCTTGACGGGCCAGAGGGGCGGGACGCGTGCACCGTGTCGCTTGTGGGCGGAGGAGGCTGGCGGGTTGCCTACCCGGGGACCGGCAGGCGCCCCTTCTCCCAGCGCCTGGCCGGGCTGGCCAAAATCAGTTAGAGAAAGATTTGTTAGTACTTGGCTCGGCGCGACTGACACCGCGAAGCCCCGCGTCCCGTTACCGATATGCAGATATTCCACTAAAAACAGTCACAAATAAAGTTGCCAGCGACGGGAGCCGAACTACCGACTTCCGACGCCTGGCTCCGCGCCGCAACCACCTCGACTACACTGCAAAAAATTAGAGTCTGATACAGAACGATCTACAGCGTTACTGTAGATGCCGCTCTTAGTCACTGCACGTAGGGTACAGAGCGCGTAGTACAGTGTTGCTGGAGCACCGGAAAGCCCAGGATTTACACGGTACAGTGTACGAATACGGCTCCACTGTAGACAGTTTTGTCCGCGCTTTTGCCTTACAGTGGTCCTGTACATTGCTCCCTGTACCAAACTTTAACCATTAAAACTACATCGATGCTGTTATTCGAATAACAGAAGTTCCTGGAAAATAATTAGCAGGGCGATCTGTAGTTATCCTGTCATAATTTTTTGCAGTGTACCGAGGCGGCTATGAACACGTGTTGACCGTGCTGCTCTTCCTCGGAAGAAAAGGCACAAAAAAAGCTGCCAAGGCCGGGGGCCGAACCACCGACTTCCAACGCTTGGCTGCAAATGATCAGGCAGGTCCTCGCAACCGCCTCTCTCCCTCCGCGCACGGACCGGCCAGCCCGGCCAGGCGCTGGGAGAAGGAGCGCCTCCCCGGGTAGGCAACCCGCCAGCCTCCTCCGCCCGCAATCGACACCGTGCACGCGACGCTTAGGGCTCCTGATCCCTGATGTGCCCACGTCCACCCCGGTGATTTGCGTGAAAAACCACACACTTCTGCATATGTGTGTGATTTAAATTGATTACCAATACTAAAAGATTATACTTCAAGTGATTTGACGCCGTGGCGGTAGGCAACCCATTGGGCTCGCGTGGGGTGCACGGTGTAGGCACGCCCCTCCAGGCTTGGCGATACCCCGTGCAGCTGAGAGGGGTGGTCAACGCTCTCTGGTGACGGTTTTTTTAATTGGCGCACAATAGAAATGGGAGAGCAATCCTATAGGCGGAAATGAAACAACATTCTCTCTCACTCGTTGTCGTCAGGCATAGAGACCAAAATCAGCAGTGAAATCTTGAGTTCATTTACGTTGTAGCCGTTTTTGGCACACAATTAAGTCGTCATGGAGCCAGACGAACATAGACATCAGTTGAGGAGAAAACGATATCGCCGCCGTAAGAGAAGACGTCTGATAGACTATAATGCGTCGGACTCCGAGCCCGAATCTGATAATTCAGAGGCCTCAGCTGCTTCAGGTAACAGCTCAAACACTTATGCTTCGTCTGCAGGTCAGTACGAAAACAATTTTTCAGTTGCATTGATTTGATTTCCCTGTTATTATTTAAATTTCATGTAATATTCCAGCTAGTCCTAATCGGCTGAGCCAATAAACTAAACTAAATTTAGTCTAATCAAAACTAAACTAAACTGCGAAGCCATAACATGGTCGGGATGGGCTGTACGCAACGGCTCTCCAGAGTCAGCGTGAAATCAGTCCCAATTCAGCCAACGTCCGCATGATAAAATGCAGTATGAGTAAACTAACAGTATCACATGTAATAATGTATTTTAATGTTATTATCTTAATTGATTATGATCTTAATAAAAATTATTGATGGTTTAAATTATTCTTGGTTGAGTTGTAATGTAATTTGATGTTGTGTGTTTCTGTTATTGTGTTGGCATTTATTTTTCTCCCCATTCGTTCCAGCCTAGCCTGTCACAACATTGCTGATTGCAATCTGAATGTGACAAGTTATCGAAAAAAAAATGTAATGCTTTGAGTCAGAGTCAGGTTATTCCTTTCGTTTAACGCATTACTTTCAAGGTCACACTGCAAAAAATTATGACAGGAAAACTACAGATCGTCCTGCTAATTATTTTCCAGGAACTTCTGTTATTCGAATAACAGCATCGATGCAGTTTTAATGGTTAAAATTTGGTACAGGGAGCAATGTACAGGACCACTGTAAGGCAAAAGCGCGGACAAAACTGTCTACAGTGGAGCCGTATTCGTACACTGTACCGTGTAAATCCTGGGCTTTCCGGTGCTACAGCAACACTGTACTACGCGCTCTGTACCCTAGGTGCAGTGACTAAGAGCGGCATCTACAGTAACGCTGTAGATCGTTCTGTATCAGACTCTATTTTTTTGCAGTGCAGGCCGATGTGGGTTGATGGAATTTAGAGGGGGGACGCAAAGAGACTCTCTCTCTTTCTGGGTTGATGGACCGTTTCGCCATTTTATCACCTGCCGTGCTGTCGAAGCATTTCATCTTGATAAGCTGACAAGTACCTTAGAGTGGCAGTTGGGGCTTTGAGGAAATGAATTTTAAGAAATATTTTAATGTGTGTTACAGCGAAATTTGAATTTTTATGTAATTTGATTAATATGTTACAGTTCTGAAGCTCATGATGAAGAAGTTGTTTCCGACTCGCAAGTGTGTAGTCCCATCTTGTATGAATTCTGATCTGACGCATCATATGCACACCTTTCCCAAACTCAATTGTGATGACACTGGTAAAAGTTATGACAAGTGAGTAATTGTGTTTATTATGCAAAAGTATTACTTGTTTTGTTTTAGTTGGTTTGGTTTTAATATTTAATTTATTTAATTTAGGTATGTTGTTTGGATTACTAATTCTTGCAATCCAAAGTTGTTGATGGAATCTGTTTTTGCTCTCAATCGTCGTTTTTTTTATTGTGGTGAACATTTTGATCCTAGTTTTGTAACTGAAAAGGGAATGTTAGTGCGTAGGGCTGTGCCTACCCTATTGTGTCCTGAGCCACTCAATTTGGCAGATGTTGCAGTATATTTGCAAAGGAATGGGGTAAGTAAGTTGTTCGATTTGTGGACATAATTATTATTTGGCATGTGTTTGTAATTCAAGTTTTAATAATAGGTTAAAAAATTAGCTCATGATGATGGACATGTTGAAATGGTGAGTTGAGTTGTTATTGTTGTTGGGTTTATATTAAGTTAAAGTTGAAATACTGGTACCTAAAAAAGCATCTTTACAAATGTGAATAGAAATTCAGTCTAACTTTTTGATTTATAGGATGAGCAGAATCAGCTTTGTAATGATGTGAATGATCTTTATTATTTTGATGAAGATGTGATGGAGGTTGAAGTATCTGATTGTCAAATTGTTGCTGATGTTAGTAGCAATTCAGATGTTCCAATGGATGTTCAGGTTCAAGAATATGATTCTCCTAATGAAATTGTTTATAATCGTTCTTGTCTTGACCTAAATGAAGTAGCTGTCAGTGTATCAGTTGAGGTATGATATGTTTTAAACATTTAGATAACTTGAAAAATATGTTATTATCAGTGTAACTTTTTGATTTATAGGATGAGGAGGATAAGCATCGTAATGATGCGAATAAGCTTTATTATTTTGATGAAGATGTAATGGAGTTTGAAGTTTGTGACTCTCAAATTGTTGCTGATGTTAGTATCAGTTCAGATGTTCCAATGGATGTTCAGGTTCAAGCAAATGATGCTTCTAATGAAGTTGTTGGGAAGTGTTCTTGTCTTGACCTAAATGCGGTTGAAGTTCAAGCCAGTATTAAAAGTAATGTTTCTGTAGTGGATGTGCTAGAAATTGTACTGGCATTGGATAGTCAGAATGAAACTGTGGCAAGTGTGAACGTATGTTAAGTTTTATGTGTCTACGTAAATTGAATATATGGTGTAACTGAACTAATTTGTTTGTTTTCAGAAATCTGTGCCAGGCAAAAGAGTGTATTCAAAGTGTTCTGTAAGTGGTTGTGGAAACAATAACAGTACTCATTCAATGTTTGGTTTTCCACGGGTCAATAAGATAGTTGAAGGACAGCATGTTACTGATGACATTGAGTTGAGAAGGTATTAGATTTAAATTATCTTTTATGTTGGTTATGGATCAAGTGAGCAAGCAGGAGTAATTGTTTTATAATTTTTAAAATTTATATTTAGATGCAATGAGTAGGTTGGTTTTTGTAACAATCCGAAGTTACTACTGAAAGACATTTCAAGGTTACACAAATTGTGTAAAGTTTGTAGTCATCATTTTGTGGACACTGATTTTACATC